GTGACTAACTAGTTTCCTAGACTGAATAGCTGAAAAAGGCTGTTGCTTAATATAGCAAGCCATAACTAAGTAGGCCCAATGAATCAATGGAACATACAGAAGAGTGCTCACCAAATCCTCACCAATTCAATTAACGTACTCTAACTGCAAATTATGAGGGAAAACAACAGATTTCCATTCAATAAAGCTGAAGTGTTCCTCTAGCACAGGGGCCCCGCAACCTTTTTCACCCAGCGGACCGGCTGCAGAATGCAGGGCATGCCCGCGCTGGCGCACATGCGCAAATTAGCATGTTCATGTGCATGCACAAACTGTGGTGCGGTGCCTGTGCGGGCGCGCCCACATGCATGAGCAAACGGCAGTGCAGCATTTGTGCAGGCACTCAGGCACAAACGGCGGCATGGCGCTCACACGGGCGTGCTGGAGCACGCACACATGCGCAAATCAGCTATGCGGAGGTGAGTACGTGCGGGAGTGTGGTGGGAGGTCTGCCTCCGTGGCCCAGTCCACAGACCGGGGATTCGGGACCTCTGCTCTAACAATTATCGCACAACGCAAATTTAGTAAGAGGAAGCATTATGCACAGCGGGCACAAAATTAATTCAACTTCATGAAAACATCCAAATGCATGCTATCCCTACTTGTCTTCAGGTGTTTTCAGACATCTCTAACTGTCTGGTGTCAGGAATGGACTAGATGAGGGTGAAAAAACTAAAACTTAATTCAGACAAGACCAAGGTGCTTCTGATCAGTCAAAAGGCAGATCAAGTAATAGGGATGCAACCTGAGCTTGATGGGTTTACATTCCCTCTGAAAACACAAGTACAAAATTTAGGGGTGCTCCTGGATTCATCTTTGAGTCAGGATGCTCAGGTGGTGGACAGGAGTGTATTTACATAATTAAAACTTTGTGGACCAGAGCAAACCATGGCAGGTTCTTAAAGAAATGAGACTGCCTGACCACTTTATCTACTTCCTGAGAAATCTATATGTAGGACAGGAAGCAACAATTAGAACTGGATATGGAACAACTGATTGGTTCAAAATTGAGAAAGGAGTACGACAAGGCTGTATATTGTCCCCCTGCTTATTCAACTTATATGCAGAATACATCATGTGAAAGGCTGGACTGGAGGACTCCCAAACCAGAATTAAGATTGCCGGAAGAAATATCAACAACCTCCGATATGCAGATGATACCACTCTGATGGCAGAAAGTGAGGAGGAATTAAAGAGCCTCTTAATGAGAGTGAAAGAGGAGAGTGCAAAAATGGTCTGAACCTCAACATCAAATAAACTAAGATCATGGCCACTGGTCCCATCACCTCCTGGCAAATAGAAGAGGAAGCTATGGAGGCAGTTACAGATTTTACTTTCTTGGGCTCCATGATTACTGCAGATGGTGACAGCAGCCACGAAATTAAAAGACGTCTGCTTCTTGGGAGGAAATTTATAACAAACCTAAACAGCATTTTAAAAAGCAGAGACATCACCTTGTCAACAAAGGTCCGCATAGTCAAAGCTATGGTTTTTCCAGTAGTGATATATGGAATTGAGAGCTGGACCATAAAGAAGCCTGACCACCGAAGAATTGATGCTTTTGATTTGTGGTGTTGGAGGAGACCCTTGAGTCCCCTAGATTGCAAGGAGAACAAACCTATCCATTCTGAAGGAAATCAACCCTGAGTGCTCACTGAAAGGAGAGATCCTGAAGCTGAGACTCCAATACTTTGGCCATCTCATGAGAAGAGAAGACTCCCTGGAAAAGACCCTGATGTTAGGAAAGTGTAAAGGCAAGAGAAGAAGAAGACAGCAGAAGATGAGATGGTTGGACAGTGTCATCGAAGCTACCAGCATGAATTTGACCCAACTCCAGGAGGCAGTGGAAGACAGGAGGGTCTGGCGTGCTGTGGTCCACGGGGTCACGAAGAGTTGGACACAACTTAACAACTAAACAACAACAAAGTGCTACTTCCACATGGATTGACAACTTTCCCTTTCCTCATAAAATCTGTAGTGTAAACATTTTTATAAGTTTGTTCTCTGGTCAGCTGGAATGTTTATGAGCACTCCATGTACCACCAAGCTCAACAAATCAGTGTCAGAGTCTTAAAAGCAAAGTGTGCTGCGTATATATCACCTCCATAGCATTTAAACACTCTCTGAGCAGTTTACAACTACAGTATGCAGGCCATATTGCCCTCCTCAGTGAGCTGTTTAAACACTCTCTGAGCAGTTTACAACTATGCAGGCCATATTGCCCTCCTCAGCGAGTTTGGTACTCGTCTTACTGACCTTGGAAGGATGGAAAGCTGAGTGAATCTTGACCAGGCTATCTGGGATTGAACCCTGGATCATGAGCAGAGTTTGGCTGCAATACAGCAGTTTAACCACTGTGCCACAAGGCTCCTCTTAACTTCCACCAATACTTGCTTTTTGTTTTCATGCACAAAATGTTTAAAATACTTCCATGAAAAAAAAAAATCAATGAAATGCCTTATCAGTATTGGACTCTTTGTTTTTGTTCACTGCACAGAAAAAATGCTATTAAAAATAAGAGCAAACTGCTTTCCTCTTATTTCAACTAATGAATTATCACATTAAATAAAACGATCTAATGTGACTATGTAATATGTCACATAATCTGCAGGTTGGCAAAATTAAAGAAATTCAGAAGCTCACACTGAAATAAATCTATTAGTCCTTAAAGAATATCAATATTTTGCCTTTTTCTCCTTTCTCTTTTTCCTTTATCCCCCTTCAGTTTTGCCAGGATGCTAAAACATAAAAGCACAGCTACTTCTCTGGAAATGTATTCTTCTTTAATTGATCTCAAATAATAAATGGAACATGAAAATGTCACCATATTAAAGAAGAATTTACTGGGAATGACCACTTATTTGAGGTAATCCTTCACTATCACACTTAAAGAACAAAAATAATATATCTGAAGTATTTCTTAAAGCAGAAAGGCTAGTCAAGCAGTCAGGTTCTAAGATTGCACACAATCCTAGAGCATTTATACTGATCATGAATTTCTGTTCCCATAATTTACTTTATTTTTTTTTTAAATCACCTTGAAACTGCAACAAAATGTTCAACAATAGACAATCCTGGGCAGTCACATTCTTTTTAAGAAGGAAGTGTGGAGTTCTTCCTGCAATACTGATTTCTTTCTCTCCAATCAGAGTGTCATTTCCTTGGCAAAAGGGAAAAAGACTCCCTCCTCTAAGTACAGGGCATTTTAAACTGTGTCAGAATGAAAAGCCTATCACTGCCAGTTCTAACATCCAAAATACAGCTTCACAAATTGTGGATGGCCTTTGTAAGTAGCCAGTTCTTTTCCCAAGCTCCTTAGCAGGCACAGAAGAGGCTTAGAATGGGCTGGTGCTTCTTTCTTATGTCATTACAGGCTTTGAACATATTCAGAAGCTGTGAGAATATTTTGTTGCCTCCAAGAGTCTTCCAAGCTGAACACGAAGTGGACTTCCATTCTTTCCTGCCCTCTGCCAAGAAACCTAGAAGCCTCTGTCTTTTCTGCACAGCATACAGTGAGATTTCTCCCACATTTACCTTCTCCACAATGATAAAGTGCATATACAGTGGTGCCTCACTTAACGATTACCTTGTTAAACGACGAATCCGCTTGACGATGAGGTTTTTGCGATCACAAAACGATGTTTCAATGGGCAAAAATCGCTTTATAACGATCGGTTCCCTACTTTGGGAACCGATTCTTCGCATTACGATGCTCTAAAAACAGCTGAACGGTGGTTCTCAAAGTGGCCACCCGCTGTGCAAAATGGTTCCCCGCTGTTTTCAGGACTTAATTTTCGCTACACAGGGAGCAGAATATGGCCGCCCTATGGAGGATCTTCACTGGACGATTAGGTATTTAGCCCATTGGAACGCATTAACAGGCTTTTAATGCATTTCAATGGGATTTTTTCCCCAGAACGCATTAACAGGCTTTTAATGCATTTCCCCGCTTGACAATGATTTCACTCTACAGCGATTTCTCTGGAACGGATTAACGTCAAGCGAGGCACCCCTGTATATGCATAAATCAATGATTCTTTGCTTACAAAATACAGTAATAAGAAAGTTTCTTGATAATCTTGTGTATGGACAAACTTATTGACTCTGCCCTCAAAATCAGAAGTTGATTCAGGGACAAAACAACAACAACCACAACCACCACAACAAAAGAAGACAAAAACCAACCAAGCAGCTTCCTGGATCACATCTTTGCACATTAAAACCAGCCTATGCCTACCAGCATACAGGTAATCACTCCAGTAATTGTTGGGATGTGTAGCTAATTAATATTCCTGTTCAAGAATTGTGTTAATAATATTATTGTCACTATGAGATTTCATTTTCTAGACCTGCTTTCATCTTCATTGGGTTCCCCACCCCCGCAGTGTAAACTAAATAATGGTGATAATGATGACAGCAATGAGCTGTCAAGTCAATTCCAACTTATGACAACCATTGCCTAGGTTTTCTAGATATAAAATATTCAGAACTGGTTCACCAGTCCCTTCTTCTGGTGGCAGTCTAGGACTGTGCAGCTTGCCCAAAGCTAGATAGACTGATTCTTCAAGAAACAAAGGGGAATCAAAGTTCTGACCCCTGGCTCCACAACCAGATATTCCAACTCTCTGAGCCGGCTAAACTTTATGTGGCTAACTATTTCACTGCATTTCTCTTAGGAAGTGGATAGTAATTCACAAAAATTCAACTGAAATAAATCAGCCTTCAAGAGATAAAAATGTCATACAGTACAAAGCTTCAAAATGAGGCTTTTCTGCATCCTGCTCATCACACAGGAATAGGACTGAGACTCTCTTTTTCTCCCCTCATTTGAGTCATGAACAGCTTGAATCAACAGAACCAACTGTTAAAATCAGTAATTACTATTTACAGTTGTGGAAGTATCCTCACATCAATGACCACAAAAAGAAAACAAACATTTTAAAAAATTAGTATATTCTCACCTTCCCAACTCTTTTGTTTCAACTTCGTAGAAACTGTGAAAGTTCTCCGTTTTTATTTGTGTCTGAAGAGATGCAAGTAACAAGCCTGGAAGGCTTTTGTTCTCTGACTTCCTCCTGGACATACTTAATGCATGGGGTCACTCCAGTTCTGGTTACCGATTTTCACCTGTCAAAGGAATATTTATTTAAATACAAATGCCAGATAGTCCTAGTATATTGCCATAGCCCACTCTCTTGCGTTCAGCTGGAATGCCAATTGACTCCCCCACCCATCCTGTTACACTAATGAAAAGTAATAGTCCCCCTCCATTCAAACTCTAACATTTCCAGAAAATCAGAATCGTCAAAGGGTAGTCCATCCAAGAACTTACAGATCAGTGAGCCTTATACTGTCTCACACAAATTAGCAGGGAAAAATCATTAAAATGTACAGTACTCTATGTTGAATACAAGTAACCCTTGCCAAGAAGAGTCCTCAGAACCCTTTCAGAACTCTTTGCACAAGCAACAAACACACTTGATGGATCTAACAACTATGTAGAAGAGTGTGTGCATGTATTTTTCTTTCAAAAAAGAAAACAGCTTTTAATTCCTCTTTACAACACTCGTAAGGAAATGTAGCAATCATAGATTAAGACACAGATCTTACAATTATCACTAACCCGTAAAAAGAAGATTTCAGGAATAACAAGTACGTACTGTTGTTTCATATATTCATAAATTAAGTGTGAAGAATACAAATGGTACCATCTACAAAACTGAGAAATATTTAGGACAGTAATACCTAGCAGACTGGAAGAGATCCAAAAGGGAACTCTCAGTTGTTCAGCCTTCATTGAGAAGCAGGATTTGGATGCTCTGTCTTAAAGTCACACTATCTGCAAAGGCACTTCATGTCCTTCCTGTCACATAATTAACCAGAGTTGCATAGCAAAAATAATGCACTTCCTAAGCAGATGGCTAGTGATGTATAACAGCGGTCTTCTTAATTTGTATTGTTATAGACATTTTAATAAAGACTGCCATTTGAAACAGCTTTTGAAGACTTTTTCATATAAATATAGATGCATACATTGGCTAAAGTATATGTATATTTTCTTTCTTCCTTTTTTAAAAACTACCAGTAATTATGATAGAACGTCAATGTTACCGCAGATTTGCCACAAACTCTTCCGGAGAAAAACAGAAGTCTTGCACTGACGTCTTTCAGTCTGTATCTTATTAGAATCTGTTATGATAATCACCTCATGACAGAGTCACATCAGTTTCATACCATACTACTGGCTTGAAATTCTCAGACATGTTTTTCATAAGTGATGTATTGTCATTTAAGCTGCTACTGATGCTATTAGAATCACAAACATTTTAGTTAAAGTAACAAAACATTGGAGTCTGAGTATACAATTACAATTTTTAAAAAATGAACTGCAGTGAGACCACACTAACAGCTGCCTTAAAAAGCTGAATCCAACTAAAACATCCTAATCACTACATTATAGGTTCAGACTACAGTAGTTCAAGCCCAAATGGAACCATTATACCCACATCTATCTAGTAAGGCATTTTTGTTGTATAGTTATATTTTAGTCAGTGTAGAAAATACAGTTCTTAATCTTTAGTGTAAAATGAGGCAGGTTTCAGCACACTTTGCAAGTCAAGAATTTTATACAGCTACCCTAACTTTAATATTAGACATATGAAAACTGTGATTGTTACCGACTAGTGAAAAAATAATCCCAAAAAACTGAGTTCAGAGGGGCTTGCAATTCACCCAACATGCCCCAGATTAAAACAGGTTCTTGGAATTTCAGAAAAGGGTGACTTTATGACTCTTCTAAAATCTGGCCGACTCTTACGGAGGGCACTATGCAAAAAAGATCAGTGCAAATGTAAATAATGATCACTTTTCTCCCCTTTATAATTTATAGTTACCAGAAAGAAGTTACTATTCTAGTATCAACAAAAGGCAAAGACAGCCATACAAATGGTCTGATAAACAAATGGTCTTGGAGAAAAGACTCCATTGAATAGACTTTCTGACAAGTATGAACCAGCTAATGGAAGCTCTACAGTTATAGGCTCTTTCTGAGGACTTTCCCATAATGGTAAGGCAAATCAGAATCATTAGGACTTGAAAAGAAAAGTCAGAATGTAATGTGCATAAAAGTAGAACCAAAAATTATCCTGTCCAGATTAAATCAAAGAAAATCTACTAGGAGACATCTGTAAGGTAACAAGAACCAGACCCCAAACTTCCTCACCCATCAAGTCATCAACTGACCAAGAATTTGAAACCAAAGCTGTAAACCTCATGCACTTGCACTCATTTCTTGCAGGCAACAGGCTACAAGTTTTACATCTAAATACCATAGTCAGTTAAATACTCAATGAAATGCACGGATATTTGGCAATTTTTTTTGTTTAATAACACTTAAAAGATGCAATGAAAGCTACAGTATTTCAGCCTTCATAAGAAAAAAGTAAAAGACTTTGCTTTGAATTCTGCCATTTATTTGGATGTGAGATCACCTGGTTACTTTATTTATTTATTTAACTTATAGGCTGTCCACATTACCCAAAGGTCTGTCGGCAGCTTACAATTAAAATATAATAAAAAAGATAAAACAATTAAAATACAATTAAAATATAGACTCTAAAAATTGCCATCAGGACCCACAGTTGATATTATTTCAATTATAAACCCTCTGGAACAGGAAGGTTTTGACCTGGCGCCAAAATGTCATCAGCAGTCGAAACACAACATTAGCTTTACATCTCCAAAAAACCCTATGCAAACAACATGTAAGGAAATACTTCATTACAATGATGTTATGCAAATATCTTGTGTACCCAAAGATATACAGTTAGGGGGACATGGGGAAGGCAAGCAAGATTAGTATTAGGATTTGATTCTAAACAGTCTTGTTTTAGGAATCAGTGCAAAACATTCCTGTTCTATAAAGCTTTCATTCTGCTCCTTTAGAAGCTGTGAAGTCAGTTGACTTAGCTGCAACTTTATTTTTATTAATAACCCACTCTATCCCATGGGCTCCAAGTAGCTTACAGGAACTTTTTCTTAATAGTACTGTCTCTTAGGGAGTTCCCAATCTAACTGATATCTCAAACCTACTCAGTAGCAAATAATTCCCACTGAAACATGTGAAACTCACTTCTGAGTAAACTTACATAGTATTGTGTTGTAGCAAGCAAATGGTTTGGAGGATAAAAGACGCCAAATTAAATGAAATGACATCATAAAAATACTTAAAAGAAAAAACAAGTTGGAACACAGCAAATAACTGCTTTATATAAAGCTACCAAATGACAATGATTTTTGAAGGCAGCCTCCTGCTATGTGCCTTGTTGTTAAAGAGGTTAGTGCTGGTTCCAGCTCTGGGGAGGATGGCCATTATACTAAGTGCCTCCAGTGTGTTCCCCTACCCTATGCCAAATCTTCCACTGCTGCCCGGTGACTTGCCCTGTCTCTTTAGGTCCTTATTAGTGCAAAAAGCAGGCGAAGGACATAATTTACTGGCACAGCAATCAACACAGCTGCCATTTGAACAGCTGACCCAGGTTAGATTCTCAAGACAGAGCATGATCTCTAAGAGCTGGATTTCAGATCCACTGAGCCTTTTACATGACTGGGGGTTAGTCATTCTCTATCAGCCTGATCCACCTTACATGGTTCTTATATGGAAAAAATTAGAGAAAGGGAATACTATGTATATTGCTTCAAGGTCACTACAGGAAGAATGGGATATAGTTGTGACAAATAAATAGCTGGCTGGATAGCTCAGTAACTTAGATATCTGGCTGGGGAGCCAGAATCTAATTCGCCCACTGTGCATCCCAAGAACCAGCCTGTGTGACCTCGAACAAGCTGCATTACTCCAAGGTAATTCCAGAGGAAGGGAATAGTGAACCACATCTGAAAACTCTCTACCTAGAAAACCCTGGAAAGGGTAGCAATAAGTCAGAATTGACTTGACAGAACACCATAATAAATGCCTGTCTTCACTCTTTTGCTTGTGTGCTCAGAGGACAGATATGCAGCCAACTACATAAAAAAAACCCAGCAGAACCAGGTGGCTCTACAAGTTAAGGGCGAGCATCCTACAGGGGCCACAGGTATCTGCTGAGGCCACAGCAGATACCCTGAAAACAGTGCCATAAAGTGAAGTCAGCAAATGCCACTTTTTCTGTTGTTTCATATAAGAAATGTTTTTACTGGTTTTACGGCTTTATTTTACATATCTTGGGCAGATTTTTATTCACCGTAAGTTGCCTAGCACAAGTGGGTGAACTTCACTAATATTAACTTAATAAATGCAAACAGAGATGCCAGCAGCAGTTGAGTCTCTCCGGTTCCATGCATGTGTGTGCTCTTGCTCTCTCTTACTGAGCTGCTGTTTCTGCCCCAAATGGGTATGACTCTAGAGACATCCATAAATATTCAGCTTGCATCTAAACTACATGAATCACTCATAAGGGAACATTATCACCACACCTTGTGGCAATTAATTCTCCAGATGAATGTAGATTTTTGTGAAGAAGTACTTTCATCTTACCTGTCACAGTACCTGAAACAAATCAATATTGCAAAGCTGTGTCTTAATAAAGTGATAAAAATAATGAAGATACAGTATAACTAAAGATACAGAAGCAAAACAATATCAAAGAGAAATCTATCTTCCCAGCATCTGCAGGCAAGATGCTTGGGGTCAAACAAGGACAAAGCAGGATAAGATATCAACCACCATCTTAGATGGAAAAGCTGCCCCATCAAAAATAAAAAGCCTTACCCCGGCAAGCTTGTGGCCCTAGGTGACTGGCCATTCCATGAATTTTATTTATTTATTTATTTGATTTATACCCCGCCTATCTGGCCTAAATAACTTTTAATAACTTCTCCTCTGACACACGTCAGGAATCCCACAAGCAAACAGACATGACTATGGCCATTTTATCAGTTTAATCGCTTTTCTGTAGAAGTGACACACAGGAGAAGAAACTTTTTTTCCATAAGTATGTAACACACAAATGAGCAGAGACACCACCGGATGTTATTCTCCTTTACCCAATAAATTGACCCACACATCCATGCCCTCGTCCTTCCAAGGCTTGGTTTAAGAGTGCAATCCCTCTCTTTTCCCAAAGCGGAGGGGGGAAAATCTCCTTTTCTTAAGGATCTGCTTGAAATGTCTAAAACCAGCCCTTTGCTCCTCTTTCAAATGGGAACAAGCTGAGGCGAGACGACCAGCCCTGCAGTAACACACGAGCACACACACACACACACACAAATACCCCGTTGGAGTGGGGGCAAAAAAAGGGGTGTGTGTGTGAATCTTACCAGGAGAAGAAAACAAAGAGGCAGGATGGAGGAGAAAGGAAACCTTCTTCCCTTTCCCCCCCTCAAATACACCACCCCCGCCCCCTGAAGTCCCGGGGCAACCCCGCCACCACCGCGACTCCCCACAGCCACAAACTGCCGCGCGGGGTGTGGGGATGGTGGGAGTTGTAGTCCACCATCTCGGGAAAGGACCAGGGCGGGGCGAGTCGACCCGCAGCCCAAACGGAAGCCTTCCTGTCAGGCCAGAGACGCCTCAAGGGCGGCGGGAGCCACCACCTCTGCGCCGGGGCTGCCGACAGGGGGCGCCTTTCTTACTCCCATCTCCTCCTTGCCTACTTGCAGGTCGCGACGCGCGTCGCCCTTCGGTCCAGACAACCCCCTCCTCCAGCCGGCGACAGTTTCTCCCTCACACACAAACCTGCGCCGGGGCTCCGCCGTTCCTCCTCGTCGCCGTCCCTGCGCTTGCTTCTCTCTGCCTCTCGTTTATTTCCCTCCCCGCCCCGGGTCTCTTCCTCACTCCTGAGGGAGGCGGACAGGCGGCAGCGGCGGCACCCGCGGGGGGGGGGCCTCTCTTTTTTTCCCCCTCCCCCTCTTCCTCGTCTTCGCCCGCCCCGGGCGGCGCGCT